TTGTATGTTAATGATAGAAATCTGAGCAAAAATGGGAATATTTATTGAGAACAGTAAAAGTTTTCTAAGTACAAGCTACAGAAAGGATAGGGATGAGTCCACGGGGTAGCATTCAGTGTTACCAAGAACATAGGTCCAATCAAATGGAAAGTATTGCAAAACAAGGCAACTGATAAGATTGGAAGACAGGATGCAACAGTAGAGTTTATTTAGCTTAGACAAAAAATGTTTAAGGAAGCAACTTCAATTTATAAGTATGCATAGTAAAGAAAGTGGTAGTTTTCTCCATCTCCATCTCCTAATAATAGAACACCCAAGGATTCAATAATTGGCCACCCTATGAAATTAACTAGCATAAGATTTAGCACTAATAAAGAGGAAATATTTTTTTCATATGGCAAATAACCAACCTGTGGCATATAATGCCCAAAAAACAAGTTCCAAGGGGAGAATTTTATCAATGACTGAGCTTGATGACTTGGAGTTTGTGGGCTCTCTATAACAGGAATACTGATGCCGCAATGTAACAGCTGCTTTGATGTCCTATTTGTGGGCTTCCTACACGCATCCGGTAAGCTACTGAGGCCTCAGTCTGTTTGAATGGGGCTGTTGTCATGTTTTCGTCACAGGTATTGTGTCAAGAATAATATTAGTTTAAATCAATTCATATAAAGGTGGAGTTAAATTGGCCCCACAACAGATTGGTGACGGGACAAAGGAAACATCACCAGGACATGTCTCTTAAAAAGGTTGCTATGAAAGTTTTGTGTTGCCAGTTAGCAGAATGTCAGGACCAGCCCTCCTACCCGCTCTTGGGGACATTTTCCATAATGAAACTTTATGTTGTTATTTCTCCTAGTGCCCCAATAAAACTTCCCGTGAAGAGATCTTAATGCATTTGTTATTCCCTTGAGTATCTTACAAAAGCACTTCTAGTCCCAGATTTTGACAATTTTGTAAACCGTATTCTTCATTGCTTTGATTAGAAAAGCTACTTTCTGCACCATTGTTGGAAACTAGCAAAAAGAGCAGCAATAAACCATTTCGTATCTAACATCCCCAAATCACTTAAATTTTAGCAGCGAAGTAGCAGAATTTTGGTAATGTAATTTTTGTTGTCAAGATAGAAAAATGGAAATGCAAAGAATCTGGACTGTGAAATCCTTCAACTTCCATCCTTAAATCCTATGATGCTTCATGTTCATCAATAAGAGGCCAAAATGTGGCAGTGGCTGTTTCCAGAGATGCTACCAAATAACTGGAAGTTGTTCAGTGATCTGTTAATAGCCAGGAGACCAAGTCACAACCCCCAACTTTTATAGTAAAGTCTAAGCTGCAGGGGGGTAGGTCTATTAGGCTTGTGATGGGAAAAAATAGTGAATTATTTTGGCAGGAGAACAAGGATTGCAGTTGGTTTTGTGATGATGCAAAATGGATTGGAAATTGTGCTTCTGGGCAGCATTGGAATTTCTGGGGCTTGGTAAGAATGTCTTCTTAAAAAAAATAAAACCAGCATCCCCACTCCAATTGATCACCGGTTTACAGTTTCATGCTTGCTTCCTGTCTCAATGTGATAGAAGACCGACATTCGGTGGAGTAGGTTTATAGATTGCTCATTCCTACAGTGATATATTGAATTTAAATTGTCCCCAAGCATTTGCTCTGAAAGGGATTAAATACAAACCTCAAAATTTCAAAAATCCTTAAAATCTGATGCACATTCAATGCCAAATGTGGTACCTTGGATGAAAATGCCTTGAAAAGAATTAAAGATGCTGAATATTTTTTCTATGATGCAAATATTGAAAGTGACATTATTGTAAATTACAATAGTACGTTTATAAAATGTGGTTTGAACTCATTTCTTCCTTTCTCATGAGGTCAAACAATATACACTAAAATCTCTATACTATTCTACTAACAGGTGGACCTAAACTTTGTTAACAGATACAACCATTTTTGTCAGAAGCAGAATGCCACTGACCTCAAATCATTGGTCTTTTTAAAACAACCCAAGGATGCACCCCAAAGACTTCCGGGGTTGGTACAATGAGGACCCAGATTGTTGGGGGACAATATGCTGACTCTGTAAACCGCTTAGAGAAGGCTGTAGTGCACTGTGAAGTTTAAGTGCTGTTGCTGTTATCATCCTCTGCTCCTACATATAAGTCTTTCTATCCTTGGACTGTTCATGAAACAGTCTTATATAGAAAATTTGTAATGTACAACATCAGTAAGCGTTTTGAACCTGAACTTG